TGGTTGGTAGTTTAAGTCACTTTTACTTTGTAACTTTATTATATATATATATGTATATATATGTATATATATATATATATATAGCTTCAAACACTAATCATGTAGTTATTTCAAAATGGATACATAAAAATTAAAAGAAAATTAAATTAATTTATCAGTATATAATAATATCCAAATAAAATCCTAGAAAGACTCGTGCAAGAAAAGGTTCAAATACTTCAAACACCAGATATATGAAGTTGTTTCTAAATGGATATTATGAAAAAGAAAACTAAAAAATAAATATGATTAAATTATAGTATCCAAATAAAATAGCGGGAGACTCACTAAAGAAAAAGGTTATGATACATAGCTTCTCTATCAAGCATAAACCTCAAGAAAATAGAATTTGTCGATGTAAGACCTAAGTAAAAGTTTTAATTCAAAAATAGACAAGTAATTAAGGATAGAGGAAATAGGATCTCAACTGAAAATGTGGTGTTAAAAATGAACTCAAACTCATTCGTTAACTCCAACTTTATAAAAGGATTGCATGTCTAGTTTAATTTAAATTCAATTCCATTCATCAAAATGGTAAATTATGCATCATCCATCTATTTCTAAGTTCTAACAAAGAAAATCTCAAATCAAAATATTTAAAGTTTTGCAGACTTGATGTAATGGACACTTTGCTTGTTGCTAAAGTATCATTATAATTACTTTTATGAATAAGGTCAAGAAAAAGAAAAACAACCAAATTGATTAATATGATTAGAAGGTGTTTCGTAGTAGTAATAATTCATTGGCCCTTATGCTAGCTCAAGCAGGAAATTTGATCCTAAACAATTTAAATTTCTGCATCTTTTCCTCGGTCATTAAAATTGAAATAATAATATCATGATACAGTATATACGTTAAAAAAAAGAATATCATGTAAGTATGTCAACTAACTACTTGTACTACCTGACCTAAGTTTATCAAACGATCCTTCACCACTACTGTTTTTCTCAAAAATGCGATCGAACGGCGACTTAACAGTCTTAAACAAATTCTTAGAAACCGCCGTTATATCATCTCCAGTTCCGTTACCATCCTTAGACGAGCGGGTTGAACCGCCTCTCGAGAAGAAAGGTGGAACCGGTATAAACCCCCACCGGTCTACCCGGCCTTCCTCATTAAACCGCTCATAATTTTCATGATTAATACGTGTTGAACCGGTTCCCACGCTACTACTTCTGTAACCTTTTGGCATACTTCTTTCACTTGGAAATATCGAGTTGGTTTGTGCTCGACTCGAACCTGAATTAATCAATTTCTCTCGAACCTCCTCCGGTAACCTTAACGTAAACCGCTCGCGATCTTCATCGGGTCGAACCGGTGAGTGACCCGTCGAGTGAGACCTTGGAAATTTTCCTGTAATTTTCGAATTCGTCCTTGGTGGACGATTATGTACAGGTGTTTGTGCTACATTTATCACTTCAGGTGAAGCAATATTGTTGATATCTATAGTTACCGAGTTACCGAATTCCAGGTCAGGTGACCCGGAATTCGAGTAATAAACCGGAGTAGCGATTTTATCGAAATCGCTGGGGTCAGGGAGTAAATTGGCACGACAAACAGGGCAGGTAATATGAGAAAATAACCAAGCGTCGATGCAATTTGGATGAAAAACATGAGAGCATTTAGGAAGAAGTCGAAGAGCTTCAGCATCTTCGAATTCGTTTAAACAAATCGCACATTCTAACACTGATTTCCCAATTTTGTGATGTTTAACATCAGAGTAAAAAAACATAGGGAAAGAGGTAATTACGACTGGGTCTAGTCCATGCGATCGAGCGCCGCGTCGTCCAGAATCTTCGTCTGCTAATTCGAAGTCGCCGATGAAGCGGCGGTCGGCGCATTGACGGACGTAGACTGAAACAATTCCCATAGCGAAGAAAACACTGATAAGTGTAACTAAAATGATAGCCGTAGGTGGGTTGATTTTTATTTTCGTATCAAATGAAAATGGTGGTGGTGATGGTGGTGATGGTGTTATTTCTGATTGCGATATAACATGCATCGCGAGCAGGAATAAACAAAGGGAAATCGAGCAGAAACCATGGCTTAGCTCGATTATCATCTTCATTAGAAAAAAAAAAACAATCAAATAAATGATGGACAAGTAATTGTCATTTGATTTTGATTTGTTATAAGTTAAGTGCCGGACGTGGATCGAAAATATATAAACAAATATATATATACAAGTAGGGGCATTTTAGTTAAGGACGTGGGGCTGAAAGGTTTCGTTTGTTTTAAGGGACATAGAAACAATTATGATTTCTTTTGACTAGTTGAGTGAGTTGGTGGCCCGAATGCGATTAAAGGGTCAAAAAATTACGTTATATATATAAATATGAAATTAGTTTCTTTGTTGCAATGAAAATTAATAATGAAGGTGACTTTACTATACTTGTTTATAGTTGAAAATTTTAATTAGAAAGCCTTTTTTTATTATATATATATATATTGAGTATGTTTCTATTATTCATATTTTTTTTTATATGAATAGTTAATTTTTTTTTAATGAAAGTTATGAGATATGATTTTGCTACTGGTTAAAAAATAAACTCTTAGCTGATTTTTATCCTACAATAAAAGAGTTAAATCATTTGTGGTCTTGACAAAGGAAAGGGAATAATTGGTTCGTGGCGTTCATGTTTCCTACTAATTAGGTAGACCTAATCATTAAACGATTCAAAGATTTAAAAAGATATTTCAATTTGTTTATTTTAGTCAAGTATTTGGGAGCAACTCAATCATTTTCCCAAAGAAATTACTATATGGTTTTGTTTGGGGAGCGAGATAGGATAAGTCAGGATATTTTATAAAAAAAAAAAAATTCATACTGCTTATATAAGATAATAATTCAATTATTTTAGTACAAACTGTATGACAAATAATCTAGAGATTAGCTAATTAAATGATTAAAACAAAATTATATATAGAACTTGACTACTGACTAATATATCTTCATTCTTTAGTAGCCAAACAAAAAAAAAGGAAAAAACAAATGAAATTATATTTTTATTTATTTGGTAGATTCAAGAAAACTTTCACTGGTCAAAGTAACAATGTTTTTTAAAAAAACTGTTCTTGGCAACTACGCTAGCAATGTTTTCATCTGTGATTGACAAAAGAAATGGGTAATACTTGCTGATACGTTTTTATCCTAACTAATTCAGATTTAATACTGTTTAGGTCTAAATATGGAGGAA